CACAGGATAATGCCTAAATAATTAAATGCTCATCTCTTGCACATTTTTAATTTTATTAAAATGAATGGGTATTTTTTTTTGTTTCTTTGTTCCCTCAGTAGTATATCTAAAGAGAAGGAGACATTAGTCCATTTACCTTCCCAAATATCTAACCTGCCTCAATTAACTGATTCACAAGATTGCTCTTTCTTTTTCGGTCGGGAAAGAATGGTAGGCTAACCCATTCCTCAGGAAGAGGTTTTGTTGGTATTATTTTCTTCATTTTTTATTTTCTAAGATTTAAAAGTGTGTGGTAATGAGTCCTCCTCTTACTACATTTTCATTACAGAATGCCCTGCAACATGACTCTGATCTGATTCCCATGAATTTCAATGGAAGGTTGAATCATACCCACTATTACTAGCATCCTGCTAGCAGCCATAAATTAGTATTTCTTGTATTGTTTCACATTTGTTAAACACCACTTTATGTCATTTATTAGGGGCTGCAATGGACTAATTTTTTAGAATTGTTTGGAAATGTTTCAGGGAAATATTTTTGGTTGGATAATGCCAGGTGTTAAAACCAAGACTAATGGTAAGAAGGACTGTTTTGAGGAATCTCCCATATAAAAATAATTGGAGAACAAGTGAAAATGTTAATTGTTGAAACATGTCAACATTTTCAAAACAAGAAGTTAAAATTTTGGACTCAGACAGTAATTCACTTTCATTCTGAAACAAAAATGGTGTGGAGGGGGGACGAGACAAGGGTAAAAAAAAATTGGTTTTGATAACACTTGACATTTTTTAAAATGAAAAATCTGTAACATCCAAGGTCTTGCTTCAGGTACATGAACTTTTTAAGTTTTATTTTTAGTTTGAATTTGGGGTAAGAAATAAACGAATGCTAACAAACATCTCCTTTGGGTTTTATAGAACCGACTGGAATTCTGAGATGTAAGGTCAAACTAGCACATTCCTATGATGCCTTGTCCTGGTCTTTCATTTTCTTTTTTTCCACCACTGTTTTTGAACTGCTGTCAAACATTTTAGAAAGCATGCTGTTTAGCACTGCAATCGTGATCATTATTAAAACAAACAGGTTGATGCACATGCATTAAAAACTGTGCAGCCAGATGGGTTGGGGTCAGAGGCTTCCAAGGGTTTCAGTGCTTTGGTGCTATAGATAAAGGAAATACGGAAGAATAAATATGAGCACACAGCTACTGCAGTAGAACATTTATTTTGAACTTCTTCATTTGGTAGAGTGCCACTTCAGGGCTTGGTCAACTACCAGTAATTGTTGTGACATGATAGAGATGCAGAACAAAAATGGGCATCAGTGACCGCATAACTTTAGGATGTAGAAAGCTACTTTTTCTAGAAATCTATTTATGGCCTTTCTTAGAACTGCAGAAAGATAAACCAACATGAGTTCTCCTCAAAGTAGATATGGCCATCAGAAGCTTATTATCTCTAATTGTTACTGGTCAGTAGCTCAGCAGTGCAGCCTTGGTATGTTATTGATCCAGGTTGTTGTCATAGATGATTGCAATACTGTTCAGAGGGTACTGCTTTAATTGCTCCTATGGCTTACAGTGCATAAGAGGTTATTGCCACCTTAGAAAAGAGAGCCCTTATAGAATCAGAGAATACTAGTGATGGGACCTACATGCCCACTCTCTGCCCCTTCGGCACAACTTCATCAACTCCAGTGGGCACTAAGGCCTAGTTCATAACTGTAGAAGATTCACCAAAGATAATATTGGATGGCCAGGAAAGATCCATGATGCCTGGATTTTTAGAACTTCTTGCCTGCTTTCTGGAATGAGCAAGGGAAAACATAGCTTTCCAGATCACTATAGACATTTATGGAATTATAATTCTTCCAATCTCTTCAGGAAGATCCTACTTACCTTTTGGCTTAAGAAATGAGTTACAGGATATTTGGACAAGAGAAAGACTGGAGGATGGAGGGGGAACATGAGGCAAATGAGTAATTGTATGTACACCTGTTCAGTCAGTCCTTGTGTTGAAGAATGTCACTGAGACACACACCCCTGAAAACATAGAAGAGTTTTGTTTAAACAGAGAATACATAAACTAGAGAGGTATTCAGCACTTATTTCCCTGGATTATGTCCCCTGAACTGGTCAAAGAATAGAAGGAGAATCCTAGCTATATGGATAGCACTGAGAAGGCTGCAGCATTTTGAAGTGTGCATGCTAGAATAGAGAAGAATCTTTGCCATAAATTCACTTTAATGATGATTCTGGTGAAGTGCAAAATCACTGTAAAATAAATAAAACTGCACAGCAATTGGTTTGAAGACAAATGATAAAAATGCTGAGGAAAAGTTTAAAAATAGACAAGACTGGCTTGCATTTATAATGCACATTTGGAATAGCTCTGCAGCCTGATTTTGACATTTATTTTACAAAAATTAACTGTAGCTAAACTTTCAGTGTACTGCTATATTCTGACCTAAACTCCATTGTCTTGCTTTTCCTCTTGCTGTATCTGTGACTACAATAAGCATAGCTGCTAAGCCTGGTGTTTGATTTCTTTTTTAATCCCCGTGGTGATACCTTAAGTAGCAAAGTGAGTGGAGGTCTCAGTCAACCAGTAGAGGGAGCAAGTATCAAACAGCTTGTGAAGAGGATGGCATGTTTGGCCAATGGTTGTGCAAGCTGCAGAAATTTGAAGAAATAAAAGCATTATACTGTTAAATCTCTGGCATAAAGATGCCATTTGGATCACAACATGTGGTGTGTTTGAGGTTGGAAAGCAAGTTAAAAGCTAAACTAGAACTTTTTACCTCTGCCTAATACAGAGCCACCAGAAAAATCCACATTTGCAGCTGTATTGGGATATGAGAATTAATACTTACTGGTAGAACTCTTTTCTGTGGCAGGTTAAGACAAGCTGTCAAATTGGGGTGAAATATGAGCTGCTGAATCATAAAGATCATAGCTGACCATAAAAATCTCCTTCTGATTAGATCCCAGGTATATGGGGTTTTGCCACAGTTTATTGGATGCTTGATGGGAAGCTGTGCACTACATCATTCTTGGGTATAGTGGTGACACTGGTTGCAAAAATATGGTTCAGATCTCTATAGGATAGGCAACTTTTGGGAGTAGAATAACCAGCAGTCCTGTTTTCTTCCTAGATTCAAAATCACAGGGCTGGTATGACTTCTCAAATAGGTATGTTTTCCCAGGTGTGTGAATTCACCACATAAGGTGCACCGGACCTCATACAAGCATCTGAATGTGTAGATGGCATCCACTTAGAGACAGTGGAGGATACACATATGCCTAGACAGGTCAATGCACATGTGATATAATGCAAAGTGGGCTAGCAGTAGAGGGAAAGTGGAAAGTGTATCCACATGAATCTTAAAAAAGAAAACAAACCCACTATGAAATAGATTTATTTTTGTTCCAAAGTGGATTATCTACTGAAACTTATTATGCCAAATGATTTAATGTAAAAAGAAAAGATATGTGTGAAACCAAGGCCAGTTTGTTTTTATATGAACAAACTGAAGCTTATCCAGTTTAACATGTTCATGTAGACAAGTTCTTAGAAGAGTCCTGAACAGGAATATAAGTTATCAAGAAACATCTCTTTTTGTACACTGACAGATGATTCACTATACAGTAGTGACAGATGTAGTTCAGTGAAGGACACTGTAGAGCTTCTGAACCAATTCAAGTAAAAACATTCTTGTTAAAATTAATGAATTCAAGGTAGTTACGTGATGCAGTATTACTAATTTCTCTCCTTCCCCAACACATACAAATTAATTTTTTTTCTACTAACTAAATGACTTGCTTAACTTGTCGATTGCAATGAATCTTCTAGTCATTAGTGATAAATTAGCAGGGTCAGTTAATTGTCTTAGTAACTTAAGGTTGCAAGTATGCTAAGAAAAAAAAAACCACAACCAGACCCAATTCTGTTCTCAGTTATAGTCTGTGTAGATGAAAGTAACTTAACTGAAGTCAATGGAACAACACCAACAGGAAATAGCATAAGAAATGAGACTCCAGCCCATGGTATAGATGGGGACAGCTTTTACAGAATGGAGCAGACTATTTTATTGTAAAGGCTAGAATGTAAGTTACATATCTAGATGCAAGTTGTTCTGAAAATGGGTATATGGATTTTACCATAGATTCTATGCCAACTGGCATAGCTGTGAGTGTACAGTGGGCCAGGCTGTGGGGAATGAGACTAAGAGATAATAAAAATAAGTAACTTCATGGAGGAGGAAAAACAGGAGGAGGGGCTAAAATGAGATAAGCCAGGTGGTAACTTCTTTCAACTCTACTTGTCAGGCACTGGTTTGATTAAAGGAATTGAGTTGCACCACTAATGAACACCCATCCAGTTCTACCAAGTTACATTTTACCACTTACTGGCAATCTTTCAATCAGATGAGACCTGCCATGCAAACTACATCTCCATTAGTATGTCTAGAATTTGTGCCAGCCCTGTTATACATGCTGTGCTTCTACAGTATGTATTTTAAAGTCTGCTCAGTTGCAAAATAGCCACAGTATAAATAGTGTAAATGATTGCAGCGTAACAAAGGCTTTTGTGTGCTAGCAGTAAAAGGGTTAAAGTAAAACTGTTTTTAATACTGCAGTAGGGGGTTCTCTGTTGCTGTTTGAATCATTCACCAAGTCTATACAGAAACATGAGAGCCTTGGTGGGAGAGTATTGTATGCTATTAAAATGGTCTGTGGCTAAGGGACAACTTTACAGCATAAACAAATTATGAGGCTTCACACAGCTTAATAAGGATGCCAGCTTTTCCTGACATGAATCTGTAAACATTTTTATCAAACTTTTGTCAGCCAGCTTCTGAAATTCAAATTCTCCAAGGTTGAACATTTACTTTTCCCATCTCTATTTCATATGTTAATTATTCTCTTGAAATGAGAAGCATCAGAAAGAAATACTAGAGCTTCTTTTTTTCTTTTCTTTTCTTTCTTTTTTTCGCTACAGAAGATCTGTACTGCGCAGAGAACACGCTTCAGACAATGAAAAATGAAGGTCAATAATTAATAAGATTTACAAGAACATCCCTGTATAACTTTGGTCTACAAACCTGGAAGAAACAACTTCCATTTGAATGTGTAGCTTTGCCCTGCTTTATCTTAAACATACCAATTTGTTTCAAATGTCAGTCTTCTTTCTTGTTACAGGAGCAACAAGCTGTTTCTTACAAGAGCAACAGGGACGGTGTAGCATTTCTTGAAAGAAGAGAAGCATTGGCAATGCAAGGGAGAAAGTTTTGTTTTGAGCAGTGGAGATAGATGAATCAGGACAAGGAGAGGAAGGGAAGGCAGAAGAAAAGCAAAGGAGAATGGAGGGGTCTGAAATGAAGGCAATGTGATTAGAATTTTGATGAAGAGGCATTGACAAGATGAAAGATCTTTCTCTCTTTGCTCCCTCTCCCTCTCATTTCCAGTGGGTAAAATCTGTCCTGTTGACACACACTTGCTCTCTTTTTACAACACAACTCTGGAACAAATAGGATTCATGATCAATGGTAGTGGCATGGCCCCAGTGACAGATCCCTGCCTGGGAGGATGGCTAAGCAGCTGCCTCTCTTCCTCCTTCACTCTTCACCAATTCAGGAATTTTCAAACTGTTGTGAGTTCTCTTATTTTATGATTCCTATAACTAAATAAAAATATGTACTGCGTGTGACAACATATGTACATATCCCAGAATGAAATGGATTTGAGGATTTTAAGCCTTCTGCCTCACAACATGCATCATTAAAGCTTATTCATCAAGACTAAGGATAAACCTCCATTGGTTGATATAACTCACTAATCAAGGAAGAAAGTATCATTGGGAAGGATCAACTTTATGTTTGCCATATCATATTACCAATTCTTCAGTATTATGCACAGACTATTGGACCTCTGGGTGAAATTTCCATCTTTCAATGGGCATAAAGTCCATTGAAAATGTATTTGTAGGATCAAGGTCTTTGTTATGAGTATTACAGATGAAAGTGTACATTCTTCCTCTGAAATACTGTCCTCGGTATTTCGGTGTGGTACTTCACTATGTGTATAATATAGACTTAGAATAGACTACTCACATGCTTACATAGTTCAATGCATGTTAAAATACCTGAACCAATTACTTCAACAAAGTCTGGCATTACAAGTATGCAGGAACATTTTACAAGTGTTAAAGATTGTTAAAGCCTGTATCTGAGACAAATACAGTGCTTCCTGAACAGTCCTACTCTCATATTTATTTTGTTCTTCAGTAAAGAGCTCAGGTGAAATTCTGACCTCAACAAAATCAATAGTAAAACTTCCACTAACTACAGGATTTCATTTCTGATCTTCTACTCGTGTCCAATTTCAGTAGGAATTTTGTCTGACTGGGAAGTCAGTAAGAAGTTAATTACACACTAATCTACCTTGTTCATGGGGGCTGTATGGAGGGGGAGTTGATATTTATGCAGTATTTTGTAGCTATGAAGCAAACCGTACCTTCTGAATTTGGTTAGTGGGTTTACATTTAGTAGGAAGAAGTAGAAAAAACAGTTTGATGGTGATTTTAAAAAGTACTTAAAAAGTTAGACTGTCTATATAGTAAATTTAAGTTATCTATACAGATTCTTGAGTGAAACCAAGAGCAACGCTGAGAGAAATCTCTATTTATACCTATTCTACACATGTTCAAGCCCAAATTAATCAGAATAAATGGCTCTGATATGTGCCTGAGTGGTGGGCTTTGCAGCATCATATCTAGGCTCTCAAGCCATTTTTTACTACTCTTCAGACCTTTGTCTATGGTGTGCCTGATGGGGATCACTTGTGTTAACCCTGGAGTAGCCTACACATCAGTGTTGTGTTTGGACTGGTTTATGCATCTGTTTACAATGAAATATCTAAATCATTTTTAATTAAAACATTTACTTACCTTGAAATAATTTTGTGTGAACACTCCTATTTCAAAATGAAAGCTTTAAAAAAATTAACTTACATACAGACTGGCCTTCAAACAACTTAATGGCTAGGGACAGATATTACACATAAACCATAAGTGATCAGAAACTGGTTTAAACCTGTAACAGAACAGATGCTAAGTGCACATAAACCAGTTTCAAAATGGCTGAAACTAGTTTGAGATAAACCTGGTTGAATGTAGTATCCAACTTAACTAATTTGGGTCAAACCGGTTTATACAATGTCTGTCCCAGACCCCTTGCTGGTTTAAGATAAATCACAATCCCTCAAACATCCCAGCATGCTCTCTGGGCTGGGCAGGGCTCTTTGCTCCATAGCTGGACTGGCCCTCCCCCCTGTCCCCTGGCTGCAGCTCGGCAGGGACTGCAAGCTGTTCACCCACCTCCCCCTTGCCTTGCCAAGAGGTGTCTGTGTATTAGCTAGCAGACTACATGCTGGCTATGGTTCCTGATGCATTAACGGGTAGCTGGTAATGTCCCTCTGTTATTTTCTTACTAGGGTGATAAACACTGAGTTAGGGGTGATAAACATTGTTATTAATTCCTTGCTGGGCTAATAAGAATGTCCTGCTGGAGGCTGGCCATGTCACCCCTCAGCTCAGTTCTGTGCAAGTGAAGGGAGGGCTGTTCTAGCGCTTCCCCCAGCTTCTAGCCTGAGCCACTACAGACATGCACCTGCATTTCTGGGATGTCTGTCTCATTACAAAACTGATTCAGCCTAGCCAGGTTAGACTAACCTGCAAAGATTGAATCAACTCAGGCTTTTTAAGTGTGTCCCCCTAGCCAACAAGTGAATTACAGCTAAACAAGTGAATTACAGCTAATTTGGTTATTTTAGTACAGACTATCCTGCATTCCATTTGGTTCATTTCAACATGCCAGCCTTTGTCATTAGCAAATTTTGCTAAATTAGTTTGTTAAGAGAATAAGAAACAGCTCAGTGAAAAATAAATAAGGAAAAAATGTAGCAGCTTAGGTTGGATGAGCAGAACTGAGACATATCCATGTTCTGATCTATAAGCTACTGCACATGCATGGACATTTAGTGGGGACAAGTTCTATCAGGATATAAAAGGACATAACTTATTTGAAGTCAACAGAGTTCATTTTCTTATATAAAGACTGAATTTGGCCCATTACAATGGTCACACTTCAAATTTCTGACAGTTTGAGATATTTTAATAGCTATTTCCTATTTATAGACTCTATTCTCAAACCAGCAAAAGTTTTTTCTGCAACAGCTGTCTGTCATGTGATACAGGGTTTGGGCAGAAGGCAATTTAGTAGCAGGCACTCCGTTGTCATGGGAAGAAAGGGGATGATCTGAATTTCATCTAAAAAATTGCTCCCTGTGTTTACAGGAATGTTATACTTTGTTGAGGCAACACTCATACTACTGTTTAAAGAACATTTCACATTATGTTTGAGAGCCTCACGTTGTTGATACACTACAATGGTGCCAACATGAGAGAGAGGGATTAGAGCAATAGGATTTAAAACACGGAAGATTTTTTCAGGCTTCTGCCTGTCTGCTCTCCTCAGCCTCCTCCACAATTGTCGTCATCTCCTCCTCCTTTCATTTCACTGTGTTTGGCTTGGCAAATAAATAAAATGGAAAATGACAAATAAAATCAAGGGCAAGGGCATTGCTGCAAAGTTGCTCTTACTATCTGACTTAAGTTGGACCTCAGCTTCATGAAGCTTTTAAGAACAGGCTCACATATGAAGTCCCTAGAGATAAGAAACATTCTGGTTTTTTTTAACCAGAGGTAAAAAAAGTATCCTAAACCTCATGGCATTATCCAAAAACCACAGAAAATTAGAACCAATAGACTAGTCACTAATAAACAACGAACAAACGACTCAACTCAGAGCCAGAAATCTCTCCAAGACAGAAGGATCTTTCATTCCCTTCAAGATGAGGGCAGGATCATGCAAACTATTATTTCCTTTAAATATATTTTCAGAATTAGAGGTTGGTTCCTTTTTTTTTTTTAATTAGGCCATCTAAGAAAAAACTTGCATTGTATCTCAATACATTTCACTGAAGCAAAATTCTCCCTCACTTAAAGGTGAAATGGCAGCTGAGGCAAACACTTAATAAACTCCAACAAAAGGTGAAAAAGTGAAAGTGCAAATGAACTGGTGAGGATAAGAAAGGAAATAATATGGAGACAAAGGCTGATTTACAAAAAATGTTACCACATACACTTAATTAACCTGATCTGCTACAGTACATAGAGGAGTATAGTAATAGCCCTTTCGGAGGCCTATGGAGCAGTTGCTCATACAAGCATTTTATGGGAGGCAGAACTACTTATTTAAGTAATTGCTTCCCAATAGTCATAAAGGGTTCTCAATTTGATCCTCACCCTGCAAACAGTGCTCCATATAAGTGTGATTAAGTATGCTATTTTTCACAAACTCTGGAAGTCTCCATGCGTCTGATGAATGGAGTAGTTTTGATGTACTGAACAGACAATGGCAGAATGGGATGAGGGGGTAATCTGGTAACATTTGGAAGCTTACATAAAAATTATGAAACAGTCCATGCTTCTGTTCCTGTTTCTTCTATATGCTCTTTTACCTAAGTTGTGTATAAAATTAAACTCAGGATAAAGAGATCAGAGTTAAGTGGGACCCCTGATATGCTTAATGTAGCTCAGATGTGTAAATGTTTACAGCTCCAAGACCTTAGAGAGGTTAAACAATGACTGAACAGTTAATAAGTTCTACTTTCACATACATACCTAACAACAACGTCACTTAACTGTTTGTAACAGCTCTGGGCACAGTTCTCTGTGCATCTGAGCAGCAGACGGATAAATGTGACTGACAGCAGCCAGCCTATCAACACTTATTGAATAATAATTCTTTAAGCCTAAAGAATTTACATTCACCTCCACATCACCTCTGTGCCTTTTTCCACCTTGTACTCCCTCTCTGTCCAATGTAGTAACTAGATTGGGTCCTGGTTTTGGCTTGGGGCCCTTAGGTGGTATTGTAAAATAATTAATGCTATAATAAAATATAAGAATAAGCTGAAAGTATCAAAGGCAAAACAAATCCTCCAGAACGTTAGCATATATACAGGTACATTAGAAGTAAATGACAAGTAATAAAACAACTTAATGTTTTGATTTTTTTCTCCTATTCTGCTACATGTAATAATTAGCCAGTAATACACAATTCTAAGCTTCTGGTAAATATGGCTTAGTTAATTCAGCCATCAATGTTCGGTATTAAATAGCTTATAAAGCTAAGGTTAAATAAGACTACAACATTAATGCTTCTACCTTAACAACATTTATAAAAAAGGTACTTCTGTTTTGCTTGCCATGCCAATTCAGTTAGTTTGGGGCTGCCTCTTCCTCTGGAAAAAAGCTTACGTTAATATAACTTAGAACAATTCACAGATTTTGGATGAGATTAAAATTGTTATTTTATTTATTTTAAAAAATGTATTTTAACCTGATTTCCCTTTATTGACTTATTACAATCGAAAGCAAAACTATACTAGAAAAACAGTCATTGGGAAAACATGGTGTCTGTGAGACTTTGAACATCAAGGGATATTTGCCAATAGTCAGTGGAAGTATCTGCAACACTAATATATTCATCTCCTTCT